AATTTGGTAAAGATTGTACGACTCTAAATCATTCTTACTTTATTCTTACTTTATCAATTTAATATCAACACACAAACTCACTTTCTTAATAATCGTGTCACCTTCTCTCATCTCGATCTTAGTGGAACGTAGTATTTATTTATTTATTTATTTATTTATTTATAATGATGATCTAAGAGCGCGCGACAAGACAAGAGAGACAGCAGAAACGGTAGGCTCTTTACTTTAACGTAAATCCGGAATATGGAATATTCCCAGCTGGTTTTAAAATTAATGAAACAATGATGATAATAATGACTGAATTTATGGGCAGAAAGAGATGATAAAATACCGAGCAATAAACTAAATTCCTGCATTATTTTCAGCCTAAAAGGAAAAAACGGGCTGTCAAAAACCGACAAGCTTAAGCACTGTATGTTGGTGGAGTTATACGGTACTTCATACCGGATTGCATGATTAATTGAACATTTAAACGTATGCATAGAAGCAATTGGTAGAGCAGCAAGGGGGCATGGGGTGATGGGGCAGACCCCGCTCACCGGAGTAGACAATACCACTGTTGGGTGCATAGGTGTCATGAACTTTTAGAGGTAATAAGAAAAATAAAAGTTGTGTGCTTGTTGGGGTTTCGGGTTTGTGTATAGGAAAGCGAAATGAGGAGAATAACAAATTAGTTATTTTAATTATAAATTGACCAAATTTTTTAGACAAAAGAAAAGTTGACAAAGTGTAATGGAGCGGAGAGAGTAATTAGTTCTTACATCGAAAATTTTAAACGAATAATATACTAAGTTAAACTTTCAGAGCTTGTTTGGTAATATTTAGAGTTCATAGAGCTCAGGATTGGTTCAAGTAAAAGATAGTCTTCCATTGATAAGTGAGAACAAATGTTGGCCTTTGATCACAAGAGACGGTTTCAAAAAATGTGCGAATGTTTATATTACAAAGTAGATAGTTAATGATTAAAAGTACACTCATGAGTTTTAAAAAAGATTGTCATATTTTTCTTGCTTTTGCACTTTTTGACTATTATGATACACATTTGTCTCAAAAGTTCTTCATAATAACTAAAATGCTACCATGTTTTTAACTAAAATTTGATTTTTTCCATCTATTTTTTCAACTTAATGGTCAAGAATAGTTCTTATTTTTATTAAGAATTCGTAGATCGGGCTGGTTTGATAACTTCTACTTTCGGCATATTATTCTGATAAGATATTTTTTTCAAGCATTTATTTTGATTTTACACATTGAATTTTATAATAATCAAAATAAGTAAATTTAAATTAATTCTCTGATTGCATTTACTGATATTGCTGAAAATAACTATGTTTTTTGTTTTTCATAAAACTTTTCTGTAATGTGATAATAATATTTTAAACATAATCACGCACAATTCAGTCGCTTCAGCTGGACTTTAGCCAATTACAACATATTCACTCAATTTAGACACTTCCATTATTATCAAACAGGCTATGAAATTAAGTGAATCGGTAGAATCTGGTGAAATTGATGAAATTTTGACTGAAACAGCTAAATTATGGAAATTTATGAAAAATTTATGTTATTACATTTGAAATATATGTTGTTAATAAAATAAAGAAAAATGTATATGAAAAACATCTAAACTAATCTTCTACGGTAACTTCACTCATTTCAGACGTAAAAGTTACTCCATTATTTTAACTATTATTACTTTATTAGAGAACTCAGGCGTGAAATCAAAAGTGGGATGCTAGTAAAAAATATTACGGAGTAGTTACCAAACGAGCTTTTAGCACATCAAAACTAGAAAGTCAAGGTCTAGGTTTTCTCTTATAGCATCAAAACTGGAAAGCCAAGGTCTAGGTTTTCTCTTATAGCTAGGCTCATGGCCTGACTTTTCTGGTGTATGTAATTTTTCACGAGAAAGTTACCGTCATACCTGTATCAGCATATAAAAACAGATTCAATTCAGTCATTTTAATTCAATAATGGGTAGATATGATGAACATATTTGCAAGGTCTTTATGTTCAAGAATTTGATAGCAAAATCGCAAATAGTTGGTAGAGTTCTTGTGTTAGTTTCTTCGGTTAGTTTATGAGGGTACTTTATTTTTTGAAAATTTTTGAGCGTACTTTTAAATAAGCTCTTGTTTTTAATGGACCAATTTGAAATGTAGTTATAACTGTTTTATGTGTAACAATTTGCAAGCCTTAGCTCATTATTATCATAAGCTTGTTTGCATAAATGATTTCGCTTCATTTTGGGGAAATTAAACTTTAGTGATAATTTAATTAGTTTGTTCACATTTACGTACTTTCCTTAATGCGTTCTTATCCCCAGTTTAATTATGATATGAAGCTAGTATAGCTACTTGATTTTAGATTGTCACGAAAGGTATTAACATCTAGTTGATTGATGATAGATCTACAAATGGATTGCGGTGTATCCATCAAATTAACTTCTACGGAGTAGTTGATTGATGAATGATGATAGATCCAGAAATGGATTGGAGTAATATTTGTGTGTATGTGTGCATCTAAGTTTGATAGGCAGAATTTAAAATTTTCAGTTCCGATCGGTTTAGGCTTAAATTTGTTTGTTTCAAATTTAGCGAGTCAGGTTACTTTGTATGAGGTATTGAAGTGGTTGACTCTATATCTATTTCTAGAATTTACGATTAGATCTGTAAAATCAATTTGAAAATTGTCTTGTATGTGTTTTTATTTTAATATCAAATCAGCTCTTTTATGATAAAAAAAAGGGGTAATTTGAGTTTGCACCCCATTTTATTGTCCAAATTGGACTTTGCACCCCGTTTTTAAATATTTTTGTTTTTTGCACCCCAATCCTATATGAAAAGACAAAAATGCCCCTCCATTAACAATTCTGTTGGCTTTCAACACATTCTTGATCGAGGGGCATTTTTGCCTTTTCATATGGGGTTGGGGTGCAAAAACAAAGACTTTTAAAAACGGGGTGCAAAGTCAAATTTGGACAATAAAATGAGGTGCAAACTCAAATTACCCCTAAAAAAATAAAAGAATTAAACTCGGGCCTAATATTTTTCAGTTTTATGTGGTTTAGCCCCCCCCCCCCCCCCCCCCCCCTCCCGCGCCCTTAGGGATGCTGTTGAATTCCCACCGAAAACTTGTGAGGGAATTAAGTGCTACTTAAGATCTGGATTACTCCTCTGGTTGACCTTTTTAGGGTGAAACTCTGAGTCTTAACAAAAGCCTCATCTACTATTACCTCCAAAAGGTTGGATTCTCAAGTCCAATGGCCCCCGCACCCCAACCCGAGCAGACATATTGGACATTGCAAATCATTGTGACTCAATCAGTTAACCATGATAGGCTTTGTACTCCGTGTGCATCACAAGTCCAACCCAACACATAAGAGTCGTAACCTTTCCAGTCGTCGCGGTTTTTTATTCTTGGATATTCCTCCAACTTTCTGTCAGGAATTAACTCACGCAACACGAAGAACAATAAGAAAGAACACACGAAATTTGGTAACCCAGTTTGCTACAAAGGACTACATCTGGGGGCAGGGGCGGAGCTAGGGGGTGCCCAGGCTAGGCCCTGGCCCACCCCAAATTTGAAAAATGTCAATATTTTTAGTGTAAAAAATTTCGTGTAAATTTTTTCCCAATAATATTCTTTGTACCGGCCCAGTCTAGCTCAGTGTCCTGGCTACGCCCCTGTCTGGGGGCGCTACCAAGTCAAGAATGTTATTAATATTTTGGAACAAGTGATTACAAGGGAGAGCTTGTATTTATAGAGAGTAAAATTTAACCCCTAAAATAACTACGACGCGCAAGGCCCACAACTATATGACCCAAACTGTACGGAAACTCGCGACTCTTCAGAAATGGAATCGATGGATAGAGTTTGGTTATAAAGTCTTTAACACCTTACACTTTCCCACCACTCGAACATTTAGGTTCACCATAAGAAAACTGCTCCAAAGCTGCCGTTTCTGCATGTGGATCCTCCATTTTATCTGCAAAAAGGTGGACGGGGGGTTTCACTTTTGTTCATCAATCATTCATTCCTATATACCTTTTGTACGTCATTCCTATATACCTTTTGTACATCATTCCTATATCACTTGCATAATACTCTTTTCCAAGATCGAGCGTAGTTTTATACGTGAAAACTTAAACCTTATCGAACTGATGTATATATATACGTATACAAATGATACTATATCTAGTCTTGTACATCATGCTACTATATATCAGGGGCTGCGCAGAAAATCTGCGGGAAAGTAGCTTTATAGGCTCTTTTGGGAGGACCTATGCTATAATTACCACTTCCCAGACCAAGAGTTTTTTTCCTAATTAATGTTAATTAATTAATTAATTACGGAAATAATGCTGGAAAAAAAGTATTTACCAAAATACTGCTGGCCCTTAACCACGGTCAGGGGTAAGTCGCCAAACCGTTTACCAAAAGTATTTACCAACGGTTGGGCGACTTATAAGTCGCCAAACCGTTTGGCGACTTATAAGTCGCCCAACCGTTGGGCGACTTACCCCTGAAATATGGCTGAAGGCGAGCAGCTACTGCCAGCCACGCACGATCGTGCGTACCCTGGGACGCACGATCGTGCCTAGGTCCAAAAACAGTATTTGAGCAGATTTTTCGCCCCAATTCAACCCGGACTCATCTGTTTGCTATAAATAAGGTCTCTCTTCTCCTGTTTAAGTGTTACGAGCCAGATACAACATATTATAAAACATATTATTAAACATACAACACACGTATTCTCAATCACATACATAACACCCCCTCTCATCAACATAAAAAACACCTTCAAAATAACCGGTATAACAAAGTACAATCATTCAATATTCATAACAAGTAATCATCTAATATTCAGACTCGAACACATCAAGACAACATACAAGACTTTACAAGATAAAATACGTCAAATGTTGTAAATTGTTCCTACAACATCTACTGCATAAGAAAAACTACAATACAAAAGACAGACTACAAGTTCCCATCGTCAGCTTCGTCATGGAGATGTTGCTGCTCATGTCTACGCCTACGGCGTTGTCGTGGTTGAAGAACCACTCTCTCATGTTGCGTCTGGGATGATGAAGCCGCGGCTGCACTAGACGTGGATGCCATCTCCTGAGATGGGGGCATGTGTATAAGATGTCCGTAGTCTACTCGGCCCAACACATCTGAGCACAACGAGGCAATGCCTGTCAGAGCCTGTCCATACATGTCCACATCAGGAATATCAGTCACAGTGGCAGTAGCCCGCTGATGTATGCGCTGCAAAGCTCGTGTCTGAAATATGAAACACAATTACAATTACATTCAAATACATACAAGTATTACATAAATAAAATGACTTACTTTACTAATTACTAATATACTCACCGTAAGATGCAAAGCCAAGGAGCTAGGCTGATAATGATGAGTAGGGAGTCTGAACGAAGGAGACACAAATAACCGAGTGATGCTGTAGTACCATCCCATGTAGTCTCCTGAAACAGATGGCACATATGTGGGTGTCCCAACCACAGCTAGCTCAGCTCTCCTTTCCCACATAGTCACGTATCGGACATGTCTGAGTGCCCAATCCTCTGTATGCTTCCCACGCCTATCCAGCTTATGCAGCTCTACATAAGTGTCGATAGGACGTGGAACGACCTGCTCAAACCCAAACTGTCGCATGACTCTATCAGGCAAATGCAGCTCAACAATGTCAAAACATATCAACGGGACACGTGCTCGCCAGATGTGAGTATGCTCTCGTCCAGCTGGGGGCAACTCTGCTAACATATCAGGTCTAAACGGCATCCATGTGATCTATTTCATAACATACAAAATTAGTATTTATTCTACACCTATTCTAGTTAATGTTATACTACATACACCATACCTGATCCTCAGACATCCGATCCAATGCATCCCTGTAGACACCGAGCCCAGTAGCGGATGACATGCGAGATAGACCAGCATATAGCCACCTAACCATTCATGTAACAATATCAATAATATGGCTATTATTAATTTATTAACATTCAACAAATACTCACATAAATACAAACGATTGAAAACATACCGACGGCCTAGAGGGTCCTCGCCCCGTACATGATGTGGTCCTAGCAGACGTGGAGGCTCATCAGGTAGTGGCTGTCCATCAATGCCATGATATCCGACTATAATGGGACGGCCAATGTGGATATACTCCCATGACCAAATCTGGAGGAGTAGCAAAAATCCCCCCAGCTCTGTGCTCCCTCTCTGGCATCCGCGACACAGCTGCCTGTAGAGATAAGCCAGGGTGGCACTACCCCAGCTGAACTGTGCTGCTACATCAAAACCTCTCCAGCAAAGGCAAGTGTAGCACCTGAACCTCATTTCCGCTCTTGTCAGCGAAAATGGAGGCTCCCATCATCATCAATATATACGCCCGAGCATGCTGCTGGATGATAACCTCATCAGCGTCGGGAGGAAGGACCTGGAAGTGCTCCCTCAACCACGGCATCCTAAGAGATGACCCCTGAAGGTCAGTCCTAAGAACGGGGCGGATACCTAACAACCGCTCACACTCATCAACCCACTGTCGACAAGTAGTGCCTGTAACAGCTCTCCCATGAACCTCTAACCCGGTGAGTACAGCCACATCTCCCAATGTCACAGTCACCTCACCAACAGGGAGGTGAAATGAGTGGGTCTCCTGCCTCCAACGCTCAAGTAGAGCAGTGAGAAGGGATCTATCAAGAGGCACAGTAGCCACTAATCTGTGCAGTGTAAAAAAACCAGCAGCACGAACATAGGCTAGGACTCTGGGGTCGACATGTAAATGGGACAAACCCCGCAGGTGCTCGCGGCACCTATCAACCTGGACATCCATGCCAAGCCAAACATCCTCACTCCTGTGCGAGGCCTGCAATGTCAGGACAGAACGATCACTCGGCCCAGGATCCGCTATCACCTCCATGCCTACAAACAAATAAAATTTGTATTAGTTCTAATTGTATAATGTATTACTTTTTTTTAACATTCCTTTTTGAAATTATTAAGTTTCCTTGCAATGAAAACATGATTTATGATTGACTCTAAATAGAACCTTACCCGGCGGACCCCCCCTCTTGTCTAGACGATCTTTTCGCACATGTCGCTCTATTATGGCCGGTTTGGTGGCATTTTCCACATCTAACCGTTCCTTGTGGACCTTCATCCATCTCATTCTTAATACGGGTCGACTTTGGTCTTCCCTTTGCCCGAAGCATGGATGGATCGTGCACGATTTCGGGTCCATTGTAATTTGGCCAATAATCACGATCAGGAATCGGTTTGAACACCCTATGATATGTGGCGGCGTATTGGTCAGATGAGAAGAACTTATCCACAAAAGGACCATAAGACAAACTACGTTGTCTACACACGGCTAATACATGAGAGCATGGAATCTTGTATATCTGCATCTTTTTACAAGTGCAAGTTTTCCGTTGTAGGTGGACAGTTTGTTTTCTCCCACCCTTTCCCAACGTTCGGCCACCACAACCGGTTTCCACCTGAAATATACCTCTCCCTAAATCAAATGGAGTGACAATGTGATGCTTTGCCTTCTCTCTATTTTTTTCAATTAAATCCGTGATGTGTGGGGAGTACTCGTGGCCTTGTGTGAGCCTCAATTTACTGGTTTCACTCCTATGCACAAAGTAGGCATTAACCCGGTAAAAAGACACCTGGACCAAGGCGGTAATGGGCAAATATCTAGCATTTTTCATGACGCTATTGAAAACCTCAGCTAGATTAGAAGTGATGGTACCGTATCTGTACCCGCCATCGTGGTGCAGCGACCACATTTCTGGAGGAATGTTGGCCAAAAATTGGCGTGCATCCCTACTCATTTCACCTATCTTCTTGAGCCCACCATCAAATTTTTTTTCCTGATGTTGCCGTGCGGTCCACACAAAAAGATTTTTTAAATGAATGTCTTTGAAATGTGTGTGCACATTTGATGCAAGATGGCGGATGCAAAGCCTATGATGCGCATAAGGCTCCTCCCATGTACTGCCCACCTCATTCATTGCCCTGAGAATACCTCCATGTCTATCTGAAATGACACACAACTCCCTGTCAGTCACAAACTGCCTAATACATGCCATAAACCATGGCCAACTATCTCCATTCTCGGATTCAACAACTGCAAAGGCGACTGGGAAAATTTGGTTGTTCGCATCACAACCCATGGCCACGAGCAATGTACCCTTGTACTTTCCATACATGTGTGTGCCGTCAATAGTAAGTACGGGTCGACAATGCTTAAAACCAGATATTGAGGCCTCGAATGCCCAAAAAACTCTTTGAAACATCATATAACCTGTGGAACCATTGGGGGGTGGGTACCACTGAACAACAGGGGTAATTCGAAATATTGGAGCGCTGTCATGAAACGGGGCAATTCGAAATATGACTTTTCCCAACCGCCAAATATTTGTGCTATGGCCTTTTGCTTCCCCATCCATGTTCTCCGGTAAGATACCGTATACCCATATTTTTCCTTCAACATCTCGATGATAGTATGCACTTTAAGAGAAGGATCAGTGCGAATAATGTCAACCACATCTTTACAGATGAATTCTGATGTCAAGGCCACGTGATCTGTAGTGTCGATGTTGCCTACACATGAAGCAGAATGAGGTCCAGTATAACGCACAATTGTGAAGGTGTCAAGGTTGCCTTTGTTCTTTGTGGCGCGTATTCTCCAGGGGCAATCACATTCTTTCTTCCTTTTGCATTGTGCCACCCACTTGTATTTATCGGACTCTATCACCCGATAAAATTGGTTCCGTTTGATAGAATACAAGCTCACCATATTGATGACTTGTTCTTTGTTGTCAAATTGTTGACCGACCTCAAACTCACCATCAGGGGTAAACCTTTTCTCACCTGATCCACTCATCCACGCCTCAGTAAACCCTTCAGGGAGATCATAAATTCTAGTAAAATGGCTAGACGGGGCTGTTTTCGTGACAGTATCACCATCATCTTCATCAGATTCTGTCATGTCATCACCATTGATGTTCTCGTCAGCATCATCATCAGTTCCCTGCCCATCCACAAATGATGCACCGTTGTGCAAATACCTACCATCTTCCTGTATAACCATGTCCAGTACAGGAGCCTTTGAGGATTTCCCTGCATTCACCCCTGCATTGACATCATACGTAGATACGACATCATTTGATGTTGATTGAGTACCATAGGCATCACAGGATTCCTCAATGTATAGCTCAAGCGTCGACATATCTTCCATCTGAGTTATGCCCCACATATTTGTTATAGCTAGCTCATCAATTAGGGGCATAAGCATGTACTTTCCCCCGTTCATGGGAAATTTCATTTTCAACCGCAAAGAACGGCTAGGATGAATCATTGTGGCTGCATGTATTTTTTGAAGGATCTCTAGCATGCAAGCGCCACGAGAAACCATGACAAAGCTGGTTCTACCACCTTCAAGGCATATTTGGCCAGCATCCTCATAATAGTTTCCTCCCCAATGACATATGATTGGGAAGTTTGAGAAATCCATATTCTAATAACAATTCATTGTCCAACATTCATGATTACGCATCAATATACACACTTTAAACACATTCAAATTTTCAATAGAAAAAACTACCAAAATTGTAATATATCCAAAAGTCAAAATTCACAAACAATTCACATTTCAATATGAAACTACCAAAATTTTGATATCTACATTCACGTCTACCTTTCAATACACAAATTTAGCTACATTCTAGTCTACCCAAATGCCCAAATGTCAAAATACACATTTAAATTTACAATCAATTTAAAATCAAATTTCAACATTTCATACATATCCACATTTCACAACAACTTAATTCACAATCAATTCATAATCCAAAAATTCGAAATTTTTAACATTTAAAACCCTAAGTTCAAAATGAGATGAAATGGAGTTTGATTTACCTAGAACAAAGAAGAATGAGTGTTGAAGATGAAGATGGAGGTTTGCCGGAGTGGGGCCGCCGGAGATGGAGGTTCGCCGGAGTTAGAAATGGCTCGGTCGTCTTCGTCCTTCGTCCGTTCGTCGCTGCTGGCAGGAGGGTTTGGGAATTGTTTTACGCACAGATCTGTTTTGGGGTTGAGCGATGAATTTACTTAAGGGAAAGTCGCCCAACCGTTGGGCGACTTATAAGTCGCCAAACGGTTGGGCGACTTATAAGTCGCCCAACGGTTGGGCGACTTTCCCCGACCCTGGTTAAACCAGCATTATTTTGGTAAATACTTTTAACCCAACCCTATTTTCGTAATTAATTAATTAATTAACATTAATTCGAAAAAAAACTCCCAGACCAATATGATCTTTTTTTCTGTTTGGGCCAGAGCATTTACCTACCATCAAACTTAATGTTTGGAGCAATTTTTTAAGGTCGGAGCAATTTAAGGTTCTCATAATAAAATGACATGATTATTACGACAGAAAATAAGCAGGATAATTCAATTATATTTTGAAAAATAGTATTAAAGGGTATATTAAAAAGGGTCATATACTCGAGGGGCTCAGATTAAAAAGTCCAAAACAATAGGCCCAAGTCATATATCAGGCAGGCCAAGACCTTGCATAGAGGCCGAGACCTCATCACTAGCCTTTCTCCTTGCAGGCAGGCCCGTTACACGCCGGGCTGAGGCGCTCCAATGATGTTTAGCCTAGCGACATCCATTATACGAGTAGATATCAAGCTGCAGTACTAAAAGAGGCCGAGGGACCTGATCCACCCCGGTCCGACAATATTTTGACATTTAGCCATTTCCTGGGTGTTCCACC